AAAGGCAATAATAATCACGCCAACCCGAGTCACTGCTATAAGCGTATTTTGGACAAACACCCTTATAGATCTCCTATGCGGCTCCACTTATTTTGGTTACTCCACAACATGAACAACTTGTTCACCATGCAGTAAGAAATAAGCATGTTATACGATCAGTAAGAATACACATGCTACATACTTGGTAAAATACCTAGCAGAGTCTATTAAAAATTTAAGCATGCTATACTTGTGAAAATTTCCCAGAGTGATTGAAGAAAAGAAAATTGAAATTTAAAAGGAGATTGAAGGATGTGAACAAAGTAGGTGAAATTAAGGAAAAAGAAAAAAACCCGAATGAAATGGACCGAGATTCCTTCGAGAAGTTGAAGGGCTCGAATACATGATCTTTGACTTTTGAGATATCTTAAAATGCTAAAATGAGATGAAAAGAAAAAAATTTAAAAGACTAAGCTTTTTTTAATCATAATAACTAAAATTGACTCCCCTAATTTAAAAATTTTGAACCTTAATCAATTATTCATCAACATCTTAGAACATATATACAAAACCAACCCTTTTCTCTTGATGACTTGAGTTCATCTGCTCAATATTGCTGTAAGGAACAAAGAACAATAAATAGGGATTAGTTATGTGGTGAATAGGATTTTAACAAATAGTGAGATTGGATATAAATAGAGATCGACCCTCTAATTTCTATGTGTTTTGTAACCGACTCGATCATGTTATGTGATTATTATTCCCAAGCAACTCTGTAATTGAAAATTTATGAATTAAGAGCCAAATCATTGTTTGGATCAATGGGTAATTAATGTTTAGTCATGGGCAAGGAGTTAGTGGGATGATGGAAATTGTATGGAAAATTCAGTATAGATAATGAAGAGCTAATGTGCATTGATTAATTAGTGAGTAATAATAGGATTAATGGATTGGACTGAAATGGAAATTCATAAGCAGTTAATTGAGAGGTTATAAATACAGAGTTATAACATTCTTTCTCTTCTCCGTTTCTATTAATTTAACATGCTAGCCAAACTTGCATGCCTATTAACATCCTTTCATTTTCTTAATATTATATTAAAATGTTATGTTATTAATACTATAATTAATATATTATGCTATTCTAAATTTTGAAATTATATTTTGCTACTATGATATATTATAAAAAAATTAAGATAGTACAATATCACACTATTACTAATATTATAGTAAAATCGTGATAATAAATTTTCATGTCACCATAGTTCATACTATAATTTTTATACCATAGATAAATCATAAATAATATGATTAGATTAGATTTATAGTGGTTTAGTAAGAAGATGAATGGTTGTAACGTTTTTTTAAAAATTATGATAGTGATAATTAGTGAGAATTATTAGAGACTTATATGTTAATGGGAGGTTATAAAAATATAAACAACTTCGTCATAGAGAAATTATTTGGGGTTATAATGAATAATAATGTATTTAATTGAGGGTTATGTATGTATGAGGTATGGTTTATGCATGGATGCATGTGTTTTATGTAAGCATGTAAGTGTTTTAAAGGGCATTTTTGGAAGAAATATTTTAACATGCCAACACACTTTTGTAATAGTATTAGATTGTCAATGGTGCTTATACTTGTCTAATATGAAGTCTAAACTAGTCAATTCTAGTTTTGTGAAACATTCGAGGAATCAAGATAGTTTTGTGAGTTTTTATTAGGGTTAATTTTAGAAAACCCTCCTCAATTATGATGGATGTCTCAGGAAACCTCCTTTAACAATTTTAACTTTAGAACCCCCCCCTGAATTATGAAGTTGTTGTAGATAACCCCACTCAAATTTTAAATTAGTATTTATCCCCTTTCAATTTTATCACTTAACCCCCTAAACTAATATAATTTTAATCTATAATAACAAATGATTTAAAATGGCCATACTATCTCTAAGATATTAAATTTTTTATTATAATGTTTCTTTTTAACCACAAAGTG